GGCTGGGAGGGGAGGCAGCAAATCATTGGTCCTGAGCCCCAGTTCTCAGCCTCCTGGGCGGGAATCTGAGGGCAGCCCAGGCTGGGGGATGTGTGGCCTCGTGGGGCCAGCCTCGGGGGACTTGGCCCAGCCCCTGTCTGGGCAGTATGGTTCCATGGGCCTGTGTTGGGGGCAGTCTGGGCCCTGACTTGGGTGCTGTCCACAGGTGGGGGCAGGGCCTGGCCTCTTACAAGAAGGCGCCCACACTGGCCCAGTCTTGCAGGTCGGCAGCAAGGGTGGCATCCCCCGCCTCAAAGAGGGGCTCAGGGGGCAGGCAGCCACTGCCACTCTCGTCCCAAGGGTGCTGCAGGAAGGACGTAGCCAGGAAGGTCTCGTCGAAGTCCAGGCTGTCAGCAGCCTGCTCCACCGAAGGCCCCCAGGTCGCAGGGCAGTCGATGTGGTGGCCATGGACAGTGAGGTCCACGTCCCCATGCGAGGCAGGGCTCAGCGGTGGGCTCAGCTCCAGGGCCTCGAGCGTGCCCAGCTCTCCGCCCAGAGCGCCGGCGTGGAAGACCGCCTCCCAGTCAAAGTTGCCTTTGAGGGGTTCCAGCTCGCCCTGCTCCTCCTGGGTCAGCAGCAGGGTGCTGGGAGGCCGAGGGACCTTGGCCACCCGCTTGGGCAGTGGCTGTTTGCGTTTATGCCCGAGCCTGCCCTCGCCCACACCCCAACCCACCTCCCCGGTGGCCTCCTCGAACTCCCGCAGCAGCTGCTGGGCCTCGGTGTTCACGGGCAGAGGCCCGGCCCACGGGGCGGCGCTGGGCTTCTGCGCGGCCTGGCGGGCAAAGGCCGGGTGGATGTGCACCGGGGTCAGCCGCCGCTTCTTGAAGGCCCCGCTGAGCAGGCGCTCGGCATACTGGGGGTCGATGCGCCAGAAGCCCCCCTTGCCGGGCTCATCTTTCTCCCGGGGCACTTTGATGAAGCACTTGTTCAGGGACAGGTTGTGGCGGATGGAATTCTGGGCCCAAGGAGAGAGGAAAGACAGGTTGGGGTGAGTGGCAAGGAAGGGTCCCTGATGTGGCTGTCAGTGCTCCTGCCTGTCCTCCTACCATCTTCTCTCGGATGGGGGAGGGGAATGGAGGCTCTGGGACACCAGCCACAGGGCACCGGGAGCCAGGAGTGCTGTCGGGGGCTTTTGTTCCTTGTTGCTGGGATATCTGCCTGCTCAGTCATCCGAGCCCTGAGCCACAGGGTGGCTCTCAGTGCCACCCCGTCCTGCCCTCCCTCCCTTACCCCACCACTCGCAGCCTCTGGCCAAATGCCTCAGCTCCCCCAGGGCCTGGACAGCCAGCTCCCTCTGCCTGGGCCTGGCTGGGCCGCTCTGTTTGTGCAGTGAGTGCGTTAGGGTGGGGGGCATTGGGCGACCGAGGGTGTGAGTGTGTATGTGTGTGTGCACACGCGTGCGTGCCTGCATAGGAGTGTGTGTAGGGATGAAAAGTGGTGGGATCTGATGACTTTCCTTGTTTGTTGAGCTGGCTGCTGGCCTGGGCCCTTACCCCCCACAGCCCCTCCTCCACCCTAGGCTGTTTGGCCTCAGTTGATTACTACCCAGAGAAGAGCATAGTGCTCATTCCTGGGGCCCATTTCCCGCAGCCTGAGCTTCGCAGGCTTGGGGTAGAGTTGGTGGCGGGGGAGGGGGGTGTCTCTGCTTTCTCACCAAGGCTACAGATGGCACTGCCCCAGTCAGCACCGAGCAAGTGAAGAATACTGTGATGTGTGGCCTGCTGCCTGTGGGTGCCCCAGGGAAGAGTCTGGGTATCCTCAGGGCCTCTGTCCCCAGGTAGCCCCTGATCCTGAGACTCAGGGCAATGTCTGCCCTGCCTACCCTGCTTCATTCCTAGTTGCATAGTCTTATCCAAACCATGACGAGGAAAGGGGTCAGGGGCGTGAACAGCAGGGAGGATGGGTGGGTAGTGCCCTTTGGCAAGGCTGGGATGTTTACATGGTGGCCTGGCCCCTTGGCAGCTCTGCACCAGGTTCGGGAGACTTGGAACCTGAAGCCAGAGCTGGAGGCAGAGCCCCTGTGGAAAGCACCTGGCTCAGGGTAATTGTCCCCCCAGGGAGGTTGACTGAGAAGAGGGGGAGGAGTGGAGACAGGAAACTGGGGAGGGGCTGGAGTGGGGGCGGGGACTGCTGCTTTAGGAAGGCCCCATACCCAGGCCACTGAGACACAGCTGGCCTTCACACCCCACTGCACTGCCCCCCATGCCCCCCCAGCCAACTGCAGAGCTTGGCAGAGGCAATACTCCAGCTTCCGCCTCTTGAGTCAGGTCCTGAAAAACTGTCCTTGGGCAAGACAGTGTCTAGGAATTCTAGGACTTGGGACAAAAATGTGTCCCTCGGTCCATCACCTTCCCCTAGGAGGGCTGTGTCCACAGCTACGTCTGGCCCTGGTCCTTGGTTGAGTCTGTTGGGTGAGTGACAAGTGCTTGCCCCTTGACCTCAGCATCCTCATACCTAAAGCCCTCTGAGCATCCTCTCTCCTCCCTCTCTGAAGTCAAATGAGGGGCATTTCCAAGCACTGGGCTGCCTCCAGGCCCTTCCTCCACGGCCTTCCTCCAGTGGGGCCGTGGCTGCACTTTGCCTGCCTACTTGATCTTCGGATCTGAGGGAAGTGAGTCCAGTCTGTGGGCAAGAGGGGAGAAGGAGGGGGGGAGGCAGGGAGGCAGGGAGAGGGTCGGGAGGGAGGGAGTGGCCTCCCCTACCTGCCAGGTGGGATCAGCATGGCGGAAGTAGCAGAAGTTGTCGGTGATCCACTTGTAGATGGCCGACAGGGTGATCTTGGTGGCCTTGCTGGCCTGCATGGCCATGCAGATGAGCGTGGCGTACGAGTAGGGCGGCTTCACGCTCGGGTTGGTGGCATAGTCCACGTCGTCGGGGGGAGCAGCCTGCAGCCCCGAGGGCGAGCTCCGGGACGTGCACGACGACGTGGGCTTGCCTGGCGTGTGCGGCTGCCCCAGGCAGGCGGGGTCCGCCGCCAGGGGGGACCCCGGGGCGGCCGAGCCCGGCACCAGGTGGTAGCCGTGGGGGTCGGTGCCCCCCGGGGGCAGGGTGGGGGCCTTGGCGTTGAGGATGGAGAATTCCTGCAGCCACTGCAGGCTGGTCAGGCTGTCGTCCAGGGCGTCGGGCTCCTCCAGGCCGCCGTCGGGCCCGGCCTCCTCC